CTCCCTCTCCCTCTCCCTCTCCCTCTCCCTCTCCCTTTCCCTTTTACACACACACATGCACGCACGCACGCACATGAATCTTTCAGGGTCGTCGCTGTGGGCCCCAGCAAGACCCCTGCCCTGGGCTACGACTGGGCCATCATCACGGGCGGCGCCCCCAGCCAGGCCACGGAGAACGACGCCTGCCTGCCGTCCCTCAAGAATGACGACGGGTGTGTTGCTGCAGGGCGCGCGCGGGTACAGCTCCAGAGGCTGGCGCAAGGCCGCAGCGTTGCGGATGGCCTATTCTGGCGATGCAATCGGCCTGCCACGCGTGCATGCCTCGTTATTCTGTGGAAATCCCTGGTCGGCATGGCACCTCTGCCCTCCATTGTGGACTTGTGCCCCGCCTCACGCATCGACCCCGCCCACCCCTCTGACCCACCCTCCCTGCACCCCGCCCTGTGCCTCCGCAGCTTCTGGCTGTTCAGCCGTGTCCCTGTGGCCCCCAAAGCCCAGCTGGATGCCATGCTGGCGGCGGCCACCGCCCTGCGCCTCGATACCGCCGCCCTGGTGCCCGTCACGCAGGCCGGCTGCACTTACGCGGGCGCCGCGTGAGCGCCAGGCGTGGCGTGTCCCCCGGGGAAGCATGAGCGTTTTAGTGAGACACTCAACAAGACCCTCGACTTCGTCCCTCGACTTCACATTTCAGACATCACATTTTCAGACAATTAGCCGAGCCCCACGGTGCTTGCGCAAGCGGGGCTGCCTGGCAGCAGCACTTCAATTTTGGTGGCGCGGTGCAAGTCGCGCCTGTGGCAGGCTTCGTGTTGCAACGAATACTGCATGGGGGACTTTTTGGGTGGTGGGGGTGTCGCAGGCAGCTGCAGCAGTCGGCACAGGTGATGTCGTGTGGTGACTGCTGAGCCAGCAGGCTGCTGGCTCAAACTTTCGTCACGCCATCACGTTCTTTCGTGTGCGCCTGCCCACTCTTGCGCAGCTACCAGTGGCGTCACTGGGCATACCGTAGTCTGTGCAAGCTTCCAGCGCCATGCTTGCCAATTGCTCAGGGGGAGGGGCGCGCCTGGTGCCGACCGGGGTATCTCTTGCTTCTTCTGCCTGGATCACATGTGTAACGCACGCAGTGATTACGCACGCATTGATTACGCACGCAGTGATTACGCACGCAGTGATCACCGGATACCTCAGCTGAGGTCTCATGTGCTCATGCGCAGGCTCATGCGGTATGAAAGCTGGGTGGGCATTGAGGTGGCGCGCAGGAAATGACCTGTGCAGCCGTCGACCAGCGCAGTCCAGCAGAAATTATCAGGAAGTGTGCGTCAATTTGTGGACTGTTCACCCTCATGTGCACCCATAGTGCCCGTCAGCGGATTGTCAAGTAAATGTTTTGGTCTGTGATGGGAGTGGACCCAGCTCAAGGGGGAGACTTGGGATTTGACACGGCCGTACAGTAGCGAGGTCGGCCCCAATCATCGTTTCTTGGTACCTTTGGTTGTTACCTTATTGAAGCATCGCTTTGTGCTGCCGGAACTGAGAAACCAAGCGGAGTCGGGTCGGGCGGCTGGCGCAACCTCGCATCCAAAAGAGGACCAAATTCATCTATAGGTAACTTTAGGTGAGCAGCAAGCGCGCGTGTTGCTTGATGATGAAGACAGTGACCTGATCTGGGTCGGCCATCGCGGCCTTTGATAAGATTCAATACGCAAATGGAGATCTTTGAGCACTCTGTCCACAATGCAGCCGCTGTATGGGTCCCATTGACACCGGTCGGTGCGGCTGATGTGTGCGCCCCCTGCTGCTGCCGCCGCGCTTACCACGCCCGCCCTGCCTGGCCCACGGTGGCGCAGGTCCTTGTGCCTGTAGCCGCGACACGAGTAGCTTCTGCCCATTGCAGCTGCCGCCATGGCTCTGCCGTACGACGCGCTGTTCCTGGGCAGCTTTGCCTATGCGGGCTACCGCGCCTTGGGGCGGTGGCTCAAGTTCAGCGACGACAGCGCCAAGCACAGGAGGGGTGGGTTGCGCCGCGCGCAGCATTACAGGAGCCTTATAGGTCCCTTCCTGTATGGCTCTGTCAAACTATCTGGCGGCGGTGCGGCGGGCAGCTGAGGCCCATTTGTCGTAGGTGCAGGCAAGCCGCATTCGCTGCTCCGCCGTGAAGAGGAGGGTGCTGAGCACGGCCCTGGGCATACTGCGGCAATCTCTGTACAAATGAAGTGCGACGCACCAAACAAATCCACCCGATTCCCTCCCCCCAACCCTGACCTTGAACCCAGACGTGGACTTTTTCGACTCCCTGAACGAGCTGCTGGATAAGAAGGCGGCGGAGGGGGAGAGGGGCGGCGCGCGCATGGGCCAGGGCGCGGCGGCCAGCGGGCAGGGGCAGCTGTGGGCGGAGTGGCCGAGGATGCGGCCTGAGCAGCGCGCCAAGCTGCTGGAGGAGATGCTCAAGGTGGGGGCCTGGGGCCTGGGGGTGCGGGCCAGGTTGGGGGTGTCGACTGGAGACCGGTGCTGGGGTTGATGTGGCTGCAGTACACGAGATTGTAATTGGCTACGTGACAAAGAGAAGGCCCTGCGAAGGAGCATTCAGGAAGGATCAGAGGGGGCAGTAGTGTGGCAGCTGCCGCCCCTGGAAGCTTGAGGCGAGGTGGGACTGCGCAGCAGCCCCTGGACCCATCCCCGCACGCACCCTGCACTGTGGGGCAGCGAGCGTCTCACCCGATCAACCCACCCCGGAAGCCACGCCCTGCTCACCCCTGCGCCAAGCCCTCTCCTCATCCATGCACCGCCCCTGCCTCGTTTCCTTAAACCCTCCGACAGGTGCTGCGCCTGACGGGCCGGGACGCGCGCTGGCGCCACCTGCGCGGCGCCAAGGGCGAGACCTGGGCCAAGCTGACTCCCAAGCAGCGCGGCGAGCTGGTGTGGGCGGCCGACGCCCTGGACTGGGGCTTCGTGGACGAGATCGTCGAGGCCGCAGACGCGCCGCACGCCGGTGCCTCGATCTGGCAGATCACCGACCCGCTGCCCCAGCTGTCGGAGGAGCCGTTCAAATCCCGCGCGCCCCGTGAGGACGCCGCGACGCTGCGGCAGGCGGTCGCGGCGGAGGAGGCGGCGGTGGGCAAGGCGCTGCGTGCGGGGCAGGCGGCGGCGGCGGAGGAGCTGGAGCCGGTGGAGAGCCTCACAGTGGCTGAGGCGGCGCGGCGCGTGACCGTGCTGCGGGAGCTGCTGCAGGGCACGCTGGGGCTGTCCACGGGCGGCCGCGCCAAGCGCGGACAGGAGGTGCGTGGCGCACGCGTCGCGCCGCTGCCTGCGCTGCTGCGATTCCCCCGCGCTGCCTGGGCTCTGGGCTTAGCTGATGCGACACACTTAAAGGGGATTGGGCGCCTGCGAGCTGCGGGCAATCCACAGAATCCCACCCAAAGGCGCATGCGCCCAGACCGTTTGTTGTCCCATGCGATGGCCAGCGTGGAGGATTGCATGCAGGCTCTCCATCTCAGTTACCCTCGCACATCCCTGGACTGCCATGTGCAACACCAAGCTCCCCCTCCCCCTCGTCATCACCCCGCGCCCCCCCCCCCCAGCTTATGGA